TTGGTGGTACACGCCTTTAATCCCAGCACTCAGGAAGCAGAGGCAGCCGGATCTCTGAGTTCCAGGCCAGCCTGGTCTACAGAGCGAGTTCCAAGACAGCCTCCAAAACAATACAGAGAAACCCTGTCTCGAAAAACCAAAAAATAAAAAAAATTTTAAAAAAGCTGGGCAGTGGTGGTACACGTCTTTGGGAGGCAGAGGCAGCCGGATTTTTGAGTTCCAGGACAACATGGTCTACAAAGAAAATTCTAGGACACCCAGGGCTGTTACACAGAGAAACCAACCAACCAACCAACCAACCAACCAACCAACCAACCAACCAAACAACCAAACAACCAACCAACCACAATGGACAGTAATAAAATGTTGCCCCCAAAAAGATAGTGATTTATTTCATTACTTTGGGTGAGACAGGAAGCAAGATGAGGTGATTGAGAAATGGAGAAAAGTAGACAAAAATCAGTGATGGGATGGTACCTTCCTTTAGGGTATCTGTTCCTCTGGAACTGTAGACAGTAACACAGAACACAGTAGCACAGAATGGATTCTGAATCAGAGTAGCAGTGAAGGTAAGAGTTGGGGGTAAGGTTAACTGGATATTCAGAACCTGCGAATGAGTCAAGGTATGCAGACAGCCAGCTTTCTTGACAGTCACAGAAAGCCAGGCTTGACCTCCTGCCAGGGAAAAATACATTTGCTGGGAGAATAGGATTAGTTACACCTCTGAGAAGGCTTCATGGGTCGAGGGGGACCAAAAATAACCAATCCTTGAGAAACAGGTAACACCAGTTGTATTGTGATTGCAAATGGAGGGAGGACTTGGTCCCTATATTGTCCCTTCCTATCCCACTCCTAGAGTGTAGGAAGACAATCTGGAGCCAAGGCTGAAGCAGAACCTGCCCAACCCAACTGGACCACAGCTTAAGTCTGGAGCAGGAAGAAGGGTCCAAAGATGGCAAAGGAGAGTTTGTGTGAGTGCAAAAACATACCAAAAATTCAAAGATCTTCACACCAAAGGCCCAAAACAGCCACACCTGGAGGTGTGGCCCAGAATCAGGAAGCAACAGGGAATCAGAGAATCAACAGCAAAATAGAAGAGAATAAAGTGAGTGTCTGAAGGGACAAGGAGAAAACACTGAGGCAGGGGGTCATGGCTAGACTGAGTCTACAGGACCAGGAATGCAAGACACTTGTGAAGTAAGGTGCAGGCCAGGACAAAACTTGGATCAGCAAATGAATGGTAGGCACTTAAAGAGCACCTCTAGGCAGGAACTCTGCTGTCACCCAGGAGTCCATGTTCTACTGTCGGGTTCAGTGATGCTGCAAGGCCATATGAAAGTGCTTTGCTTGGAACAAAATTTATGGCAGTAATTTCACCTCCCCAAATCTGAGACAACCTACCACTGCTGAATATTTCTGGGAAAACCTTGCAAAGGAGTGATGGGTTGAAGTGGAAGTTTAATCTACTATGTGGGGCTTGACTTCAGGTATAAACTTTTTTGGAAACCATTTAGAACAATTTGAGTTCTCATTCCTAATTACCTGCTTCTGTGCCTAAACCCTAAATGGGACCACTTTATTTCTGGTACCTTGTATTTCTTCCTTTTAATTTAAATTAGAAACAATCTTATTTTATCTATCAATCCCAGTTCCCTCTCCCTCCCATCCTCCCATGCCCCTCACCGGCCCCCATTACATCCCTCTTCTGCTCCATAGAAAGGCTGAGGCCTTCCATGGGGGATTATCAAAGTCTGTCACATCATTTGGGGCAGGGCCTAGGCCCTCTCCTGTGTATCTAGGCTGAGAAAGTATCTCTCTATTGGGAATGGGCCCCCAATGTCCATTCGTACACTAGGGATAAATACTGATCTACTACCAGAGGCCCGATAGACTGACACCCATGTTCGGGGGTCTGGTTCTATCCTATGCTGGTTTCCCAGATGTCAGTCTGGGGTTCATGAACTCCCCCTTGTTCAGGTCAGCTGTTTCTGTGGGTTTCTCTAGCCTGGTCTTGACCCCTTTGCTCATCATTCTTCCCTCTTTACAAATGGATTACAGGAATTCGGCTCAGTGCTTAGCTGTAGGTCTCTGCTTCTGCTTCCATCAGCTACTGGATGAAGGCTGTAGGATAGCATATAAGTATCAATCTCATTATAGGGAAAGGCATTTAGGATAGCCTCTTCACTATTGCTTAGAATCTTATCTGGGGCCATCCTTGTATATCTCTGGACATTTCCCCTGCCGGATTGCTCTTTAAACCTATGATGGCTCCCTCTATTAAGGTATCTCTTTTCTTGCTCTCCTCTATTCTTCCCCTGACTCAATATTCCTGCTCCCTCATGTCTTCCTCCCCCCTCCTCTTCTTCCCTTCTCTTTCTCCTAACTCCCTCTCCCCTCCCCCCATGCTCCCAATTAGCTCAGGAGATCTTGTCCCTTTCCCCTTCTCAGGGAACCATGTATGTCTCTCTCAGGGTCCTCCTTGTTTTCTAACTTCTCTGGCAGTGTGGATTATAGGCGGGTAACCCTTTGCTCTATGTCTAATATCCATATATGAGTAAGTACATACCATGTTTCTCTTTTTGTGATTGAGTTACCTCACTCAGGATGGTTTCTTCTAGTTCCATCCATTTGCCTGAGAATTTCAAGATTCCATTGCCCTCCCCCACCCTGCTGAGTAGTAGTCCATTGTGTAAATGTACCACATTTTCTTTATCCATTCTTCAGTTGAGGGACATCTATGCTGCTTCCAGGTTCTGGATATTACAAATAATGCTGCTATGAACATAGTGGAACAGACATCCTTGTTGTATGAATGTGCATTCTTAGGGTATATGCCTAAGAGTGGAATTGCTGGGTCCTGAGGTATCCTGATACCAGTTTTCCTGAGGAATCGCCATACTGATTCCCAAAGTGGCTGTACAAGTTTGCACTCCCACCAGCAGAGGAGGAGTGTTCCTCTTTCTCCACATCCTCTCCAGCATAAACTGTCCTTGGTGCTTTTGATTTTAGCCATTCTGACAGGAGTAAGATGGTATCTCAAGTTGTTTTGATTTGCATTTCCCTGATGGCTAAGGATGTTGAGCACTTTCTTCAATGTTTTTCAACCATTTTAGATTCCTCTATTGAGAATTCTCTATTTAGTTCTGTATCCCACTTTTAAATTGGATTGGTGTTTTGGTGACTAGCTTCTTGAGTTCTTTGTATATTTTGGAAATCAGCTTTCTGTCGGATGTGGGGTTGGTGAAGATCTTTTCCCACTCTGTGGGCTGCCTTTTTGTCTTGTTGACTGTGTCCTTTGCCTTACAGAAGCTCAGGAGGTCCCATTTATTAATTGTAGATCTCAGTGTCTGTGCTACTGGTATTATGTTCAGGAAGCGGCCTCCTGTACCAATTTGTTCAAGGGCTTGTATTTCAATGTGGGTTTAACATCACTGCCACATTCTAACCCTATTTACAGGATGAAATAAACCCAGAAATAACTGCTCTCAGGATCTGTGTTATAATAAGTAAGAGCCAGGAGTGGTAGCACACGCCTTTAATCCCAGCATTTGGGAGGCCAAGGCAGGTGAATCTCTGAGTTCCAGGGCTATGCAGCTATGCAGAGAGACCGTCTCAAAACAAGCAAGCAAACAAACACAAAATAAAGCAAAATAAAGCAAAGATGGAGATAAGACCTATAAGTGGTGGTTGTGGGATCCTGGTCTGTGCCCATGAATGAACACACTATTCCACAATGATTACAAGAAAGACCAGAGCAAAGATTAGTAGATTTGTCAAAAATATTGCAATAGTAGGAACTTCATTCTAAGATGCATTGTCCTTGGTGGCAAGCATGGAGGAACCAGAACTTCATCTCTAGGAAGATTTTATGGTCTAGAAGTGGGATGTCTTTGTACTGCTAAACAGGTGGAAGTTGGTAAGCTGATACTTGTTTTAAGAGTTTTTAAATATATATCATATATATTACTATATATAACATATATATTATTTATTTTTGTTTCATGCCAATTAAATTGATGCTTTTGGCTGCATGTATTTCTTTGTGAAAATGTTGGATCCTTTGGAACTGAAGCTACAGACAGTAGTGAGCTGCCATATGGGTGCTGGGAATTGAACCCAGGTCCCTTGGAAAAACAGCCCATGCTCTTATCTGCAGAGCTATCTCTCCAGGCCCCTTTTAAGAGTTTTGTTAGATCTTTGTGAAACAAGATCTAGGTTTCAAGAAACTTTAAAACTGAAGACCCCACCTGCTTCTGCTTGGAATTTAAGGTGTGGGTTGCCATACCTGGCCTCGAAACCTTTTGGAAGCAGGAGAAACAGTAAAGAGAACTATGTTCAACAATGTTGGGCACGACTATTGACCAGAATCATTTGCTTTTTAATAAGCAGAGTCTCTACGTGTCAGAACCCTTGGGTAAGGCAGACACTGGCCAGTGCTGTGAGATGCTGCTGCCTCCCTTTCAGGCAATCTGAGATTCTTTTAGTCTACATGGAGTACTTGCAGCCCGCTTGAGACAAGTTTCATTCCAGGAACTCTGGCAGGGAGGTACGGAGAGATGGTTTAAATTTGTAGAGCCTGCTTTTGGAGAGTCCAATTAGCTACACAAACAAGTGAGTTATTATTATAAACCTACCCACAGACATAAGGGTAGTAATTTATAAATTACTAGCATAAAATTAAGGGCAGAGAGGAAGCCCAATGTTTCAAATTACTCATCTGCAACACCATTACTCCCCACCCTACTGTAAGGATTCAAGCATTATGCTGGCCGGCACCTGTCACCTGGCAGAAGGCACTCAAGCAGTACCCTGGTCAGCCCAGGGTTCCATGATTGCATAGTCTGCACACAGGTGCAAAGGACCCCTTTAAAAGAAACACCCCCTGCCACTTTCTTTTTTTCCTGCTGTTCCCTTGGGACAGACAGAACTTTTCCTGTCTCCCTCTTCTCTTCTGTCCCCTCTCTGTCTCTTTACCTCTTTTCTCTTTCCTTCCCCCTCCCCCCTTTCTAGTAAAACTCACTTAAGCTCTGTCTGCCTGGCACGTTTGTCCCCCGCCCAGGTCACCCTCACATCCTAACACTCACCCTTCGGCTTTGCTATTTTAGCTGTGTCACCATTCTCTTTATACACAGGTTCCCAGCCTCATGCTGTCCCACCTTCTGGGTGTCCTTCTCTCATCTCACAGCCCTTTGCCTCACCCTTCTTCATGGATTAGTTAAGAAAGCACCTCCTCCATGACCCCATCTACCTCAGTGATCTCACTTCAGAGCCTCACATCGTTGATGCTCAAAACACACCTGACCTCAGCTGGGCACTGTGTCCCAGACCCGAGGAATCACCTGACCTCTTCACGTGACAACATGGTCTTCACTCGGGCATCATGGCTTAAACGTTCTAAGGCCAAAACCTTCTAGTCTAGCAGAAGGAACACCCAAAAGAATAGTGGTCCAAAGCACAGGAGAATGAAACATACCTAGCTCTCTTGCTGGGAGAAGGGAGCTCTGTGAGGTAAGTCTTGGAAGCCATCCCTGAGCCATTTGGGATAGGTCACATCAGTAAATCAGCATGCTGCTGCCTTCGGACTATACCTCTCAGGCCCTGACTGTGAAGCAGGCTGAAGCTGCAGGACCTTTTTTGGGGTCTTCTCAGAAGAATATGTCTCCCTGGGCACAGAAATAGACTCCTACCCCAGTTTCTCACAGGCAGGATCCCCTGGGACAGCATGATGTGCAGGACAGCCATAAGCTGAGGTGCAGGCACTGAAGAGAGCCAAAACTTGCTAAAGTCAAGAACAGGCTAGAACCAGAAGTCAACAGCCACAAGTCCTCCAAGAGGTGGGGAACAGCAAGAAAGAGGACCCCAGAAGTCAGAATTGTAGGTGGACCCTGCTAAGTGCGAAGGAGGAGCATAAGACAGAAAATAGACAAGAAGCAGACTGCTTCCTGGTCAGGCTCTGGCTAACTCAGGCTCATTTCACCCCGGCAGGGCTGGCTGGCAGTGGGGTGGATTCTGGGATTAACCCAGGCAGAGACACTTTCCCACCAGTTTTCAGCTGCAAAGGACTCCAGGTTTCAGAATTTGATATTTTTCCCCTCACATATAAGCTAGCTTTCCTCATTTCCTTTGAATGCTCAGATGGGAGCCTCAAGTTTGGGCTCATCCTTTAAAATTCTCACTATAAACTTGGAAGACATTTTTCTCATGTTCAGATTTTCTTAAACAGTTTCTTTACCTAAATTTAATTCTTCGGCAAGCATTCTCACTGTTAACTGCCTGTTTGGACAAACCACGTCCTTGACCTTCTGGATATTTTCACCCGTCCCATGGGTGACTGAACGACCACTTCTTGCATTATCTCCGACATCTTCCCACCCTATTTTAAATTTTTTGCGCCTGTCAAAAATTCGAGCCCTCCACACTACTTCATCACCGTAGGCTTCTTTCAAAAGATGGTGGGTTAGCCGGGCGGTGGTGGCACACGCCTTTAATCCCAGCACTCGGGAGGCAGAGGCAGGAGGATCTCTGTGAGTTCAAGGCCAGCCTGGTCTACAGAGCGAGTTCCAGGACAGCCTCCAAAACAATACAGAGAAACCCTGTCTCGGAAAACCAAAAAAAAAAAAAAAAAAAGAAAGAAAAAAAAAGTGGGTGTCCCTTGCAGACTTGTTTAACTTTACACAAAACTTGATACTAATCCTTTGCTCTAAATAGCGATCACTGATTTTGGCATTAAGCTATACAGGAACGTTATCAGGCTACGACTGTGAGAAGCCCGAGGTATCAATCTCTAGGGTGCTGCTGACCTAATCATTAAGCTATCCCTGCTCTTCTGGAAGTCACCAGGGAAGTTATTACTTTTCTGAGTTTTCGCCCTTAGCGTCTAGTCGAGGTATGTAGCTGGCAGTCTCGCACTAACCAGGACATAGAATAACTGTGAGGTGAGGCTGGGAAAAAATAAATCCTCTACAACCTATGCTTGCGTCCAACCCGTGCGTGGAGTTTTCAACAGTCACACAGGTAAAGTCCGTGGCGATGGACTCATACAATGGACGCATAAACAGTGGCAATCTAAACAAGCAGAGGTAACGCGGCCGTGGTACAGCGTTGGAACTCTCCCCAGGCCTGCAGAAACCCACAGACGGCAAACCTACCGGAGACGCCCGGGTTTCTGCTCTGGAGTCCCAGGAGGCAAGGCCGCATGCGCAAGTCCTCCTTCGCGCGGGTTGGGTTGTGCGCGTGCGCACTGAGGCAGCCGCTCCAGGCTCCGCCACCGCCACGCCACACCCGGTCAGACGCGCTCGGGTGCGCATGCCCGTCCGCGGGAAAGGTCGCCGGCGAGGAGGGCGGGGGAGGAGGGCTGAGGGAAGAGAGGGCACCCTCGAGCGCCAGGGTGCATTGTGGGAAGGAGGCGGCAGCGTCCCGGGCGGGCTGGAGGAGCTGCAGCGGTGGCGGCGGCGGTAAATCCTCCCGGCCGCTCACAGCACTGTGGAGCCGCGGCCCCAGCCCGGCCTCGGCCCGCGCGCCCCTCCTGCCCCTCGCGGCTTCGCGAGCCAGCCCCTCCTCCGCGCACGGCCTCGCGGAGCCAGCCGGCCGGCCGGCCCAGCTCCCCTCCCCGGCACCGCGGGGCGGCCGTGCTGCCCTGACGAGGCGGGGAGGGGAGGGCTGGACCGGCCGGTGGCCGGGCGACCATGCCGAACTTCTGCGCTGCCCCCAACTGCACACGGAAGAGCACGCAGTCCGACCTGGCCTTCTTCAGGTTCCCTCGGGACCCGGCCAGGTGAGCAGGGTGCGGAGGCGGCGGGGACCTAGGCGCACGTGCGCTCTCGGGGACCTGGCTGAGAGGGTGCCACCCGGGGGCGCGAAAGTGGGTGAAGTGGGCGCTTAGCGCCTTCGATCTTCTGACTGGTTTCCTTAGCTGTCAAAGAAAGGTTAGGACTCCAGGGTTGTGTTCCCGGCGGCCCTGCCTTCCCCCGCGTCACCCGTCTCTTCTAGGACAGTGTTTCTGTCTGGAGTCGAGCCGCTTTCTTTGATCTTAAATCAGGTCACAACTGCTGCCTCCTTCGGACTTGTCATCGCAGTGTTCAAATGCAGACCGTTACTCATTGTCTCCCTTGGTTATTGTGGGGAGCACCGAGGATGCGAGTGAAGGCGTGGGAATAAGTATTGAAACCTCACTCTTACCTTGGGGGAGCTCATACTCTGGGCCGTACTTTGAGAGACTGAGAGACATGGGGACTTAATGAGTTAGTCTGCAGGCCTTTCACGGGGCTCTCTCTCGGTTCATTCATTTAAAAGTCAGTGCTTAACCATGTTTGGTGTGCTCATATCAGGTTCTGGGAATTCTGAATGCTGTCACAGACCGCAGAAAGCGCCTAATCCATGGAGGGAGCAGATCTATAAACAGGCGTTGTCATATAGCGTGCTATTTATGAGTTGAACAAATATCTATTGAAAGCCTGCAATTGGTAGAAATTGATCTGAGGGGATGGGGTGTAACATGTGAACCAGTGAAAGCCCCTCCCTGCTCTCAGAGGTTACGTTCAAGTGGTGAGAAATTGGCAAGTACAGTATTTACAGTAGTGTGCCAAATAATGGGTTTAAAAGTAGCCAGGGAGCAGCTGGAAAGATGGCTCAGTGTTGAAGAGCACTTGCTGCACTTGCAGAAGACCTGGGTTCTGAACCCACATTAGGCGACTTAACCATCCATTTCCAGCGGATCTCATGCCCAACCTCTTCTGGCCTTTGTGTGTACCAGGCTCAAAGTGTAAAGCACTCATGCACGAAAATAAATAGATTAAAAAAATATAACCAGGGAGCTGAGCATGGTGACATGCTCTGTAACCCCAGCTCTGAGGAGGCAGGGGGAATTGGCTTGAGTTTTGAAGTCAGCCTGAGTTAAAGTAAGTTCCAGGCCATTTAGGGCTACAGTTGTGAGAGTTTTTGTCACCCATTAAAAACAACAGACAACAACAATAAAAAATAAATGGTAACAAGAGGCACAATTGCTATTTTAAACAGAGGGAACAGAAGTCTCACCTCAGTAAATTTGAGCAGAGCAGAGTTAGGTCAGGAGATAGCCATGAAATATCTTAGAAATCTGGAAACAGGAAGGGTGAAGTCAAGGCATTCTTGCTGGTGAGGTGTATATAGGAGTCACACGTTGTTTAGTAAATTGTTGTCCATGGAAAACATGTGGTATTTACTCCAAGTGAAGTGGGAGAACTTAGAGCTGAGAGAGTTCTTAACAGGATTACTGGCTGCTTGTTAATTGCAGGGGAAAAAAATGAAAGCAGGAAGACCAGTGAAAGACTATTGCAATAATCCAGATCTGTAGAAGAGAGGGAGGAGGTACATTGGTGTTTGGATGTGGATTGTAGGAGAAAACAGAGTCAAAGGTAACTCCGGAGATGATGTATGTGTGTAGGTGCACAGATGTCTGTATGCATGTGGAGGCCAGAGGACGTCAGGTGTCCTGCGCTAGTGCTCTCCTTATTTCTTTGATACAGGGCCTCTGACAGAACCTGTAGCCAGGTTAGTGGTCTGCAAGCCCTGCAGTCCTCTTGTCTCTACTCTCCATAGTGTTGGAGTTTCAGGCATAGCTTTTTATGTGGGTGCAGCAGTCTGAACTCAGTCCCCATGCTTGCACAGAAAGTGCTTTCACCCGCTGAGCCATCTCTCCTAGACTATTGAGATTTTTAACATAAAACTTACTAACACGAGAGAGATTAGGAAATACACTTTGTTGGGGGGATATTAAAAGTTTGATTTGTAATGTGGCATCTGACAACAGGCTTGTGAACGACTTGGTGGGCATTCAAAAGGTGTTTTCAATCTGCCGGGCGGTGGTGACACACTTCTTTAATCCGAGCATTTAAGAGGCAGAGGCAGGTGGATCTCTGTGAGTTCAAGGCCAGCCTGGTGTACAGAATGAGTTCCAGGACAGCCAGGACTGTTACCCAAAAAAACCCTATCTCAAAAAAACAAAACAAAACAAAACAAAACCCAAAAAACCAAGCCGCCCCCCCCGCCAAAGTGTCTTCAGCCAGGAGATGGAGTTCAGTGCTAAAGTCCTAGGTTGTATCCCCTATACTTGGGAGGAATAATAGATAATTCATACAGGAATGAATTTCAAGTGGCTGCCTTCTCTTTCTCTACATTGTTGTCAATACTTGGTTTTTTGTTTGTTTGTTTGGTTTTTGGTTTTTTATTGTCTTTCACTTTTTCAATATAGGGTTTCTCTCAAAATCAGAGATCTGCCTGCCTCTGCCTCCTGAGTCCTGGGATCAAAGTCATATGCCACCATAATTGGCATAGATTTAAGTCTTTTTTGTTTGTTTTGTTTTGTTTTTTGAGACATGGTTTCTCTGTGTTGTTTTGGAGGCTGTCCTAGAACTCGCTCTGTAGACCAGGCAGGCCTCGAACTCACAGAGATCCGCCTGCCTCTGCCTCCCAAGTGCTGGGATTAAAGGCGTGTGCCACCAACGCCCGGCTCTAGAGTTAAGTCTTTTTATAAATATGTCTATATATTTTTAACTAACCTTGGACGTGTGGTTGTGGTCTGTGGCCTTTTAAAAGAGATCTTTGCCTACTCCAGATATATTTATTTTATTTGAGACAAGATTTCTCTTCTAGCCTAGAATTCTCTATATAACCCAGGCAGGCCTTAAACTAGCTCCTGAGTGCTGGTATGAACCACTATGCCAACTTGTTTTATCTTTAATATTTATTTTAAAGTCACTTGGAATTATTTTTTTATGTTGTGAAATTGCTGGTCAAGATTTAATTTCTTCATATGGATATCCCACTCAGCATTGTTTGTTTAAAGAAAAAATAGCCATCTTCACTGCTAGTTCTAAGCTACTTTCGTTTTTTTTTGTTTGTTTTTAAAGTATTTTGGTTTTGTTTTGGATTGAATTGAATCAGTAGATCAATATGGTTTGTTTAGAATTAGATATTTCATGAACTTTTATGCCCCCATTTATCATTAAAAGAGACCCTATTTATCTTCCACAATATTTATCCTAGATATTTGATAGTTGGACTTTTCTGTCTCATACTCTGTTCTTGAATTGCTATTGGTATCAAAAACTGTTTTACCTTAAATCAGAGATAGTGTGCATAGTAGCGCTCTGTGGAGAGTCTCCAGAAATTAAAAATGTGTTTTTTGTTTGTTTTGTTTGTTTGTTTGTTTTGTTTTGGGTTTTTTTGTTTTTTCGAGACAGGGTTTCTCAGTATTGTTTTGAAGGCTGTTCTAGAACTCGCTCTGTAGACCAGGCTGGCTTCGACCTCACATAGATCCTCCTGCCTCTGCCTCCTGGGTGCTGGGATTAAAGGCATGGGCCACCAATGCCCAGCTCAGAAATTAAAACTGTAACTGAGCAGTCTAGCAAACTTTTATAGTAAGACATTTTTGCACCTAATACTTGCATTTTGAAACAGATTGTGGTTATTTTTTTGTTGTTTGTTTTGTTTGTTTTTGTTTTTCGATACAGGGTTTCTCTGTGGCTTTTGGAGGCTGTCCTGGAACTAGCTCTTGTAGACCAGGCTGGTCTCGAACTCACAGAGCTCCGCCTGCCTCTTCCTCCCGAGTGCTAGGATTAAAGGTGTGTGCCACCAACACCCAGCTGAAACAGAATGTTTATGATCAGAATTTATAACTATAAAATATTAAAATATGGATATCTCAGGCATGGTTACTAAATGGTATATTTCCTAGCTAAATGAAATGATACACAATTTAAGTATATGGTTTTAGTTTAGGTATGAAAATTGTAACAGTCACTGTGGTTTCACATACTTAAGAGTGGAAATAAGTGTTAGGGTGTATTTCAGGGTTAAAGTAGTAAGACCCAAGAGGAGCCTGGTGTGGAGGAAGAGGCAGTTGGATCTCTGAGTTCAAGGCCAGTCTGGTCTGTATATATCCAGTTCCAGGCCAACTAGGAATACAAAATGAGACTGTCTCAAAAAAACAAACAAAAAAGACAAGAGAATATATATGTGTGAATATTAATATATGCTTTAACATAATAATATTAAACCCATGTTATAATACAGTATAATATACAAATAGAATATGAGTTTGCTTTCATATTTGTGACACTTTTTCCATGGTAGAACTTTTGTTTTTATTAACTTGGAATGAGGGGAAGATCTAGTTGTAACCCATCAAGAAATTACCTAGACATTTTAATCCTTAATTTCTTCATCTGTACTCAACTTTGGAAAGAATTGGAGCAGTATCTATCCCCTAATAATATCTAGTAAACATTTGTTTTTCTGAAATCTTAATCACTAAACTTGAATTTACTTTTGATTAGCATCTTCAATACTTTCTATGTGATAGACTATGCAGATGCCGTATCTTTGTTCTTGGAGCTTGCTTTTGCATGTGTACATACATCATATGAGTGCTATATCATGTTTGTAATAAGGCAGACAAATACTTTTTTGTCCTTATGACGTCCTGTAGTTGTTTGTAGAAAATGTGCTTGCTACGTCTTTGCAGTGCTGTGGTGTTTGATTTGCTCAGGTGAAGAGAGTGTTGGTTGTGCTGTTGGCCTTGTGGATTGAGTTCTGTGTTGGCACTCTGTCTGTGCTGCTGCTGCTGCTGCTGGAGTTCTTACTGATTTGTAGATGTTTTGACTGAGCAACTTAAACTTCCTAACTTTGTAGTTGATGGGTTTATTCTAA